ATATATATATATATATGTTGGAGCCGTCTTCGCGTGTATGCTATTCCATAAAAACAAATTAAATAATCTTATATTTGATATTATTGTAACAATAATTTTGATTTTTCAATAACAAAAAAGAAAACATGAAAAATAATAATTGTTTCATTATGTTAATATGATAGTTAACAGAGTGTAGACAAATTTAAATATTATAATTATAATATATATTCATATTTTGTTTCCAGATTGAAATAAAATGATTTCAAATCTATACACCATGAGGTATTCCATTGTTTTATTTATTAGTGTTATGGTGACGTTCATCTGTGCATCAAAAAATGACGATTTCGAGTTAAAATTGTTAAACGTAGTATGTAAAAAATATTTCAAACTTTTGTTTTATATTTTATAATTTATTGTTATTAATTGCATGAATATATTAATACTTTATCTTGTTTTAATTAAAAGTTATTTAGACATGGAGATCGAACGCCTGATGACAGTCGATTTGAAAAATATCCAAATGATCCTTACTTAAATTATAGTTTTTATCCGATGGGTAGAGGACAATTAACAAAAGTACGTCAATTTTCTTCTTTTTTTCTTTTCCTTTTTTCCTTCTTCTTCTTAACGAGCACAACGTTAATCTGTTTAATTGTTCTTAGGAAACAAGATTTATTATGTATTATCAACGATTGTGTAATTTTTAGATAGGCATGCAACGAGAATTTAGATTAGGTGAATTTCTTCGAAAAAGATACGACGATTATTTCAGTACGATTTATATTCCAAAAACTATCGAAGCTAAAAGTTCTGATTACGATAGAACAAAAGCATCTTTACAACTCGTCCTAGCAGGACTATTTCCAGCTAAAGGTATTCAAATATGGAATCCTAAATTAAGGTGGCAACCGATTCCTACGAAATATAATTCAAGAGTCAATGATAATCTTTTTCTCGCAGACGAGTGTCCTCGGTATTTATTATTATTATTATTATTTTACTCTTATTTTTATCAATATGATTATAAAATAATGTTCTCATAATTATATTCTCATTTGTTATTACTAAGATTAAAATGTAGTATTAAGTAAAATGTATTTTTAATCGTTTGCAGATATTTAGACGAATACAACAAAGTGTTGGAATCTTCCGAATTTAAACAAGAAAGTGAACAATACAAAGACTTGCAAATTGAACTAACTAAATATACTGGAAAAAATATTTCCACTCCTTGGGATATTTATTATATGTATCATACTTTAATGGCAGAGTATTCTATGGGTCTTCCTTTACCTGCTTGGACGAAACCATTATTTCCGAATGGTAGACTTTATAATGGCACTCTTTATGCTTATAAGATTGCCAATTATAATAAATCATTAAGAAAATTATACGGAGGTATAACATTTAATGATAAATTAATATCATCATTCTACATTTTAACATTCGTATCATGTATTTTATTAAATTATCTTTCTTTTTTTTCTATAGGAGCCATGCTTAAAGAATTTATAAAGAATATAGTTGGATATGTAAATGGCACTTTTGAAACGGATAAGAAATTGTTTTTATATAGTGGTCACGAAACAAATATTGCCAGTTTATTGTATAGTTTGAATATATTTAAACCACATGTTCCTGCATATTCCAGTAGCATTTTTATGGAACTTTTGTACAATGAAGGATTATATTATGTCAGAGTATGTGATAATTATATATTATTATTTTGATTATATTTTTTTTTAAATACTATATCTTATATGTCTTCTTTTTTTTTATGCTTTAAAGTGCATATAAAGCAGTGAAATTATCTATCCACGTAACTTTCGTAATCTACGAAGTTTCTTTTTATAAATATTATTTTATTTTATTTATATATAGGTATTACATTATCTGGGAATTCCACTCCAGCTTGAAGTACTTCAACTTCCAGGTTGTGAAGACATATGTCCGTTAGATAAATTTTTTCAATTGACTATTGACGAGGTACCTTCAGACGAAGATATGGTTTGTGATAAAACACAAACTGCAGATTATGCTGATCAAAAGTATGATCCTAATAGGAGTACATATTTATATAATTATATAAAAAATTATAATAATAACAAGTTGTGAGATAAATCTATATTGTTCAAAGTAATTTAATGATATATAGTAAAGTATCTTTGGTATTATCCGAAAATTAGTTTTATGCGTTAATAAATACGAATTTCTTGTTTATTTCTATCGTTGTTTTATATGAATTTTACTTTGATGATATGTTCATTCTTTTATAATTGCTAGAGATATTTTTATATTACAATCATGATTAATACAGTAAAAACTATTTTGATATTTTAAATTCGAACAAGTACAAATCGATTAATCGATTTGTAGAGACATATTATGTACGAGATTTGAATATTATTTTATTTTGTTCAATTGTAATTGCTTTTTAATATTAATTTCTAGTTTCTTATAAATTTATATATTACTTACAATATTTGAATTATGTAATACTGTCTTCTTTCATATTTAAACAAGTCAGTATAGTTATTTCAGGAACTAGCTTATCATTTCAAGTATTACCGGATTCCAGATAGTGCCTTCGTACATATACATTTACATTCCATATATACATTTATAATTACATCGTGGTACCATTAAACATGAATAAAATAATAAAAATATGTTATTTTAATAATATAATTATTATAATTATATGCATATATGTAATTTTTCCTATTTCCACTAATAGGAAATATTTATAAACGCAAGAAATTTATATTATCTAATTTACAAATTTGAAAAAAAAGAAGAAAGTTATGTTATCATCTGTCGGTACGGATCATTGCTCTCATGGTAAAGTAGTTCGAGAAGAATCATTAAGAATTTTTACCACCCAGTTTTTCGCTTAGATAGATTTAACGAAATTTCATCTAACGTCTATATTTTTTCTATGGCTGTGTTGTTTTAGCGTTGCGTTTACAGTGGTTCCTATTAATTCCAGGTTATGTTTTATCAAACTTTTGAATTATTGAGGGAAACATGTCTTTTACGGGCATTAATTACTTGAAATGATTTAGATTTACATATAGTAATATACAAACGGTATTCTTATAATAGTTTATTTAATATAAGAAGATGAAATTAGTTAAACCTAATTGGGTCACGCACGATGGTTTGTTATATTTCATTTTTTATTCTTTTTTAAATGTTAAATGAATGAAATTAAAATCCTGAATGTCTTTTAGGATATTCAATATTTTCCGTTGACATACACCCTGATGGTAAAAGATTTGCTACCGGAGGCCAAGGTATACATTTATATTTTATTATCTTAATTATTGTGCAATATTATATTATAATTGATATTATTAATTTAAGGCGGTGATTCTGGAAGGGTTGTCATATGGAATATGGAACCTGTAGTGAATGAATCAGCTGAATTGGATCCAAATGTATCAAAAATATTATGTCAGCTAGATAATCATCTTGGTATATATTTATAGACATTAAAAATCATTTAATTTCAATTATTATTGCAATGTTAGATTGTATATATTTGGTCTTTTTTATAGCATGTGTAAATTGTGTAAGATGGAGTAATAATGGTTTACTAGCTTCCGGTGGTGTAGACAAACTTATTATGATATGGAGACTATCCGGTGGTTCTGGTGGAAGTTCTGTATTTGGAGGAAAAGCTAGTGTAGAAACTTGGCGATGTATAGCTACATTACGGTCCCACGAAGCCGATGTTTTGGATCTTGCATGGGCTCCACATAGTCCGTGGCTGGCTTCAGCTTCTGTAGATAATAGTGTAATTGTATGGGATGCATCCAAATTTCCTGCCATTGTGGCTGTTTTGAAAGGTCATACAGGTTTTGTGAAAGGCATTACTTGGGATCCTGTTGGAAAATACTTAGCATCACAATCTGATGACAAAACATTGAGAGTATGGCGTACTACAGACTGGACAGAAGAAGCTTTAATCTCTGAGCCATTTGATGAATGTGGTGGAACGACCCATGTTTTAAGATTATCCTGGAGTCCAGATGGGCAATACTTGGTTTCAGCACATGCGATGAATGGAGGTGGACCTACAGCACAAATAATTGAAAGAGATGGATGGACACAAGACAAAGATTTTGTTGGTCATAGGAAAGCGGTTACTTGTGTCGTATGTAGTTTGATTTTTATAAATAATTAATTATCATTAAATGATATTTAAATCTATATAATATACATATATAATATATGTTCATTTACAGAGATTTAATGGAAATATTTTACAAAAGAAACAGTCAGGCTCATCTAAACCACAACAATATTGTTGTGTTGCTATAGGTTCTCGTGATCGTTCTTTATCGGTGTGGTTAACGTCTCTTAAAAGGCCTTTAGTTGTGATTCGTGAATTATTTACTCATTCTGTTTTGGATGCAAGTTGGTCTCCTTGTGGTCTTAGACTTGCAGCTTGTTCTTGGGATGGATCTGTTGTATTTATTGAATTTACTCAACAAGAACTTGGACAACCTTTAGATCCTGCTGAACAAGTATGTTATTTTTTATTATTATTATTATGTTTATCGCAGTGTATATTACTTTATATTATATTATTTATATATGATCGTACAGAGTAGTCTACATGAACGTTTATATGGAAAACCATTAGTCCAAGGAGGTTGTATGGTGATGGAAGCTCCTGAATTATTGAATTTGAAACCACCAGCACCTCCTAGTCAACAGCAAGTTTTATCTACAACAAATTCAGTTCCAGCACCTTTAAATACTTCAACTACACCTGTTAAAGGTCCCATTAACAAACAAATTGAAACTAGAACATCTGATGGTAAAAGAAGAATCACTCCAATGTTTATACCACCACCTCCTGATATAATGTATGTTAATTTTAAATATATCATATAATATATTAGTGTAAGAGTAATTATAAGTTAGGTATATTACTCTCTATATGTTCTTAATTTATGAAATAAATTAAACATTAGATGAAATTAATAAATTTTAGGGATACAGCAATAAATGGTGGAACTACAGTACCAACGTTTACAAGTAAACCGCAAACAAAAAGTTCTATTGTAATAGAAAAACGTAACGATGTTGTTACACCCAATGTTACCTCTTCTGTGAATTCTGCTATCATAAATACTCCAGCTTCGTCACTTACCCTAAAACGACGGGAGCAAAGTAGTCCGAAATTACATCACTTATCGCCAAATAAAAAACTAAAAATTATATCTGAAAAAGGTGCAGGACAAATCGTTCTTCCTGCATTGAAACCGTCCGCTTCATTATCTCAACAAGCTGGTCATCATGCAGTTACAATCAGTAATAATCAGGGTTTAGCACATTTACAAGTATTTAGAGGTACAGATTCAGAACCAACTTGGGACCTTTATTTGGGTTACAATGCCGTGGCACTTGCTGCCTCTTCAGCTGTTATAGCTGTTGGTTTAGAAGATGGTAGTCTACATACTTTTCATCCAATCAAGGGATCTAGATTTGCACCTCCGTTAGCACCACCTGCACCATTAGCAAAAATTCATGCTGTTGGTAATGCGGTAATGTATTTGGATTATATGTTAATGAAAAAGCTTATATATAGAAAATTTATATTTTTTTATAGAAAATATGATTGTTTTATTCGTTATTATCAGGTTATGGTTATATCTACTTGCGGAGATGTACGAGTATGGGAAATAGGAAATACGTGTAGAATGATCGTATCAACATCAGCTGCTCATTTAGCAGCACCAGGAACGTCGATATTGTCGTGTACGCTTTACAATGGAATGCCACATTTAGCATTTACGAATGCAAGAGCATATATTTATCACAAAGAAATGGGTATTTTGATATTATTGTTATTTACTAGAAGAGATAAATGGATAATAATATGGATATATATTAATTTATAATAAATATATAATTAACTATTTTAGGAACATGGTTGTTAATTGGAGATAGCCACGATCCTGTATGGCGATGGTCTTCATTTAATGCATTAAGTTCATCTGGTAGTAGAACACCTCGAGGACCTTTATTTTCTCTACAAGAGGGTTTACTAAGAACTTCTGGAAATGTTTTACCTAATCCTCGATTGGCACACACGGGTCCCAGTATAGTGTCTTACATGGAACAACAATTATTAGCATCTAAAGCACTTGGTAGTGCACAAGAGTATGTTCATTGGATAATGGCACTTGTATCATTTCTATTAACTCAAGGTATATTTCATAGATTAATTACTGCAATGATTGTTTCTGTATATATATATTACGTAGAATATATTATAAATTATTGTATCTCTTTTAGATGGGTTAGAGAAGCGTTTGAGATTAATTTTAGATGATCTCTTGGGTCCAAGTCATACATCAGCATCTAAAAGTACATCATGGGATCCTATGATTCTAGTAAGTTACTTTTTTGTAGGTACATTATTGTAGATCAATAAATAAATGTTCTTTTTATATAGGGTATAAAAAAGCACAAACTTTTGGGAGATGTATTGAATGTCGTTGGTGGTCATCTTCGTTGGCAAAGGCTATTTCTTGAGTATACAGAACAGTTAACGGCATTAAAAAATCAGAATACATAAAAGTAAGTGAAATATTAAACAATAAATTTTTCAGTGTAACTTTTTGAAGCTGATATCACATCAGATACTTTTATATTTTTATGCAATGACTATGCATTTGTACAGTTTTTTATATTGATGTGATAATTAATGCGACGTGATAATCAGTATAAATTTTCCTATGATAAGGAATAAATGCAATTTTCCATATATACCAATTTGTTTTTTTCTAAACTATTATAGAACTGTTTTTATAAAATAAGACAAGTGAATATATGTATTCGATTAGTTAGTAAATTGCAAGAAGAAAAAAAAAATTACATTTAAAGAAGGATACAGTTATAAACGCTGTACAAATTTAGTAGATTAAAGAAATATAATGCAAATTGGAGAAACTTATAAAGAATAATTAAATATGACATAAGATGGGGGGGGGGTGGTACGAACAAATATTAAACGAAATAAGGATAAGTCAGTATTTATGTATTTAATTAATTTCTTGTCATTCTGTGCGTATTTATCATCACGCATATTCACAAATTATATATTCTTTATTTTTTATGATATTAATATCATCTTAAGGTATTATTAAATAATATTTACAAAGTTTCAGCACAGTTATGACCAATTGCAGTGAAGTAACAAATTTGAATATGTAATTTCTATATATATTTAACATACTGTCTTTCATATTAGCACCATTATTTATCATAATATTGTATCAAAATCAGATTTAGACATTTCGTGTACCGAATTTGGTATAAACATAAAGTATAAAAATAAAAATTCGGCAAATCTTCCTTAGTTTATCCTACAAAAAATATGCATAATGTAAATAATCTGCATTTGTAAATCTATGCAGGAATAATACAACAAGTACTTCATACAGATAGTTCATTTCTTATGTTTCTATCAAATAAAAGAACATTATATTTTAAGGGAAGCGTTAATTGTGGAGTAATCGTGTGTTCAAATTCTATTCTTTTGTAATAATTAGATGATGATCCTTATTATCGGTATATATTACTTTTTTAGTTTTATTTTCTTTTTTACCATAAATACTATCGTCATCAATACTATAGGTCACTGCTTTCCCTTTTTAATCCTATATAAATATTTTATTCAAAATACTATTATGTCACAAATGTTGCAAATCTTATTTATAGTTTGCAACATTTTAAAAGATCATAATTATGTAGCCAAAGAATAAATTAAGTCATTGACGTTATACGAAAATCCGTGTGTTATATAATGATATATACAAATCTTGTTATATTTGAAATTGTTGCATATATATAAATATATATATGTATATATATGCGGTGTTTCATTTATATTTAAGCGTTTCGCACGTTACGATTGTTAAACCTTATTTCCAATGCTTTTTATCAATGCAGTAGTAGTTTTTACTAATAGACATAAATGAAGTGAAGACATTTTGTTTTTGTTACAAAGGCGGAGGTCCATTTGGATGATAGACCATTAAAGTGAAACTTCGAGCGAGATTGTTAGAGAGCATGCAATTATAATCTTCTTCTGTTGATGGTATCAATGAAGTTACACCAAGTAACAACAGCATTAATGCTTGTATCGGAAGAGATATACGCAGAACCCTTCCTAGGAAACTAGATCCTCGTCTTGATACTATTTGACGTCTTTCGTCACCACTGTAACAATTACAGTAAAAAAAAAACAATGATTTAATTTACAATTTAAAACAACAAATTGACAAACAAACAAACAAACCAAAAATATTCTTTATATGGAAAAGAATGATAATTGAAAATTCAAATAAAATTGGATTGAACAGGGGAAAAGGAAAGAGAACGTACTCTGTGGCAGCTGTCGTGTGCGGCTGAGAGGTCCCAGAGGCAGCTTCATCGAGTAGCTACAATTAAACAAAAGAAAAAACACAAACAATAAGGTACTGTGCAAGTGAATTACTACTATTATTACATATGGCGCACGTGATAATGGTATAAGCCAATGAGAAAGAACAGGTGCACTTTTTTTTAGTGCTGCAATGTTTTTTGGTTCCCTTTCATCGGATTTCATTGCTCTCGTGCGCTTTAAGAGATAATATTTTACGTGGATTCTTTTTATTCTCTATATATATCATGCAATAATCTATAATACTTTAAATAGGTAAACATTTAAAAAACAAAAGCAAAAAGATCACGTTTCAGCGAGTGACCTGAAATTATTTTATACCTGCAACTTTAAATGCTACTTTAAACAAATGTCTACGTTATCAAATATATATATATCTATATAATGCATAATTGATATAATTGTATGTATTTTATTTTTAGATATGCAATTTAAAGAATTGAACTTACATCGCGAGAAAGGGTGGCTAATGAGGAAGTTGTAGCAACTAGTCCAATATCACGTGGATCCAATCCTAATGCTGCTCCTAATTTTAATGAATAGATGCCTGTCAGTCGACGTAACGATTGCAGTCTTAATCGAAGTTCTTGTAGTCGAGCTCTCATTCCTCCCTGTTCATTTAATAGCTGATCGGCAGATTCTTGGAGAGATAAAACACGTGGTTCGCAGTGTTCAAGGTCGCTTCGTAACTCCCTTTAAACAAAAAAAAGAAATTTTTAAATGGTATTGTAATTTTTATTACATGACTATAATTACGAAACTTTGAATATATATATATATATATATATGCATAAACATATATAAACTTGCAGAAGAAGATTACTAATTGTATAGTACAGTGATGATGAACCCGTTATTATTCGTATGTCACTCTCTATGAATTTTGCGTGAATAATTTTTAATTATTTTAGAATATTTTAGAATATTTTAGAAAAAATAGTTTGCCATCACTGGGTATAGTATTATGTCAATTTGATAATAGTTCCTTATTTATTTGTATTTTATGTATAAAGCAAATTAGTCACATTGTTCGATAATAATATAAATATTAATTTGTATGCAAATTAATTTGCAAAAAAAAAAACAAGAAATATGTATTAGAAATCAAATTTAATGAAAATGCATTTATATTTGTGTATCGAAATGCGTATCAATAAGTTTGTATGTCTAACGTAAGTGAGGATACAAAATAATTGTAATTTATATAACTTTTATACTATTTTTACAGTAAAGAAAATATATAATCAATAATAATGTATAAAATACACATATCAGAATGGAAGGTTTATATAATGAATATTAATAATTTAATTTTGTATAAGAGAATTGAACATACCTGAATTTATTATATTTTGTTTCTAGAATATCCGTAGCTTCGGAAAGATCAATTGGTTCACTGGTCCTAATTGCAATTTCTATTTTTTCGATCCAAGCAAACAGCTCTTCGATGATACGATGAAATTGATGATTCGAGATAAGCGCGCGTCGCAATTGTTCTTGCCATTTTTCAGCGGACGCACATACTTTGTCCCATCTTGTATTTGCGATGGTTAATCTATCACGTAATTCTGTTGCACGACTAGTGTCTTCCGTATGTTCAGCCAAATGGGCACCGACAATGTTTAAACTAACAACAATACTTTTATGACTGTCAAGATGTTGAAGAAATTCTCTGTGTTCTTGTATAACATATTCCAGATCCTCTATATTACTTGGTGGCGAGTTTTGTTCACTTTGTGTACCTTCAGCAAACTCTAACCATTTTTCTAGGCGCCATAGATCATTATCTAATTGAGTCCAGTTACGTCGAGAACACAAAGGGCACGTCAGCCTACCGCTGTCGCTAAAAATATATTATAAATAATTTAATATTTTTTTGTCTTTTTATACTTTATAGATTTGTTAAATATTTCTATATACATTCATTGTATTAATATTTTAGTAAGAAACTCACTGATTACATGGAAATGAATAAGCATCTGTAATGGGAGACCTATTAATAGCAAAATGTCTTCTTGTTAATTGATTAGAATTTTGAAATTAATGATGTTATCAATGATATATATATGATGTTAATAATAAGCATTCCCCCCTACCCTTTAACCATTTAATTTGGTAATAATTATATGAGATGATAATTTTAATTAGTTAGAAAAATATACCTGAGTTCTCTGATTTGTTGTTCACGTGTTCTAGCTAGTAAAAGAAGAGCTTCGTATCGAGATATCACAGTTTGCACTTCGTCGCTTATTGTTGTTTCTATATTGAATTTCGTATCTTCCATGAGTAAAGCATGGAGGTGACGTACTAGTTCTATAGATGATTGACAACATCCAATCATTTTTGCCTATATAATAGATTTTGAAAATGAAAGTAATACGATAAGAGAAAACTTTTTAATAGAAAATACAAATTGTGTATGATATAAAAGAAGAAAAACTACTTACAATCGTTTTAGCAGTTGTATTCAAACCTGGTCCGGATACAGGTTCCGGGGTAATTGTAGTTTCTAAAGTGTCCAATGAATGATGACACTCTGTCAGAGCTGTTTTCAATTCCAACATATAAGCGTCGCAAGATGTCATTCTAATTAATCTAGGTAATGTGTTAACTTGTACAGCCGTATCCTGTTCGAATTTCAAAGTTTCAACCTGAACGGCCTCGTCGACTTCTGATTTTTCCTGAGATTCTAATTCAATCCTCAAATTGGCAACGCGCGTTTTAATTTCTTTCCAAAGGGATTGATATTCGTCGACGAGTTCCTGTATACTGGCCACATCGTCCTGATGACTTTCCTGCATTATTTTTAGAGCCAATTTGTCAGCTTTTTGCAATAGAACGTTTTGTGCGTTTAATTCTTTTTCGATTTCAGATAAACGTTGCAATCTACCACGGGGTGAGGATTGTTGTTCGGGAGTAAGCAAGTGTTGCAGTTGAGTCAATCGAATATCGATTTGGGTTAGGCCAACTAATGCGGCACCGTGAGCCAAACTAAATTCGTGATAATCCATTTGTTCGCGTTCTATCGCTGAAATTATGGAATTTGTTCTGACACTAAGTTGGAGCCATCGATCTATAATTTTTCTAGTTTCACCGGTAAGTGATTTTAAATTTTCAGGTTCCAATCTGGTCTTAGCGAGCCGTCCAAAGTTTTGTTCAAGAATTTTCAACGCCGGCTCGTGCGCTTCGATATCTTTCATAATAACATTCAATCCATCCAACATTTCTCCCGTATCCTTTTTAGCAATCTCATGCATTTCCTTTTCAAAATTGGCAAGCTGAATTTCAGTTTGTGTTATCCAACCCTCGTGTTCCGTTCTAATATTATCCATTTCGCGTAACAATTTCCAGGCTAGTATGATATCTTGTTTACGTTCGGCCGATCTAACACACGTAGTTTTCCAACGACGTTCAAGACTTTCCATACCGTTCTTTATCGTATCAGTGTTCAACGATGCTTTCCATATATCAGAATCGTATAATAACATTTCACAGAGATTCAATATCTCACCGATTTTGGCACCTTCTGTTTGAATAGCTTTTTGAATGTATTCGTGGTCCTCTAATTTTTTATCGATGCAGCTTTGACTAATCGTTTCTATGATAAAATTTTCAGAAAGTTGCGTTTCTATACTTGTCATCCAACTTCTTTGTTCTATTAATTTCTTTTCGAGATTTTTAATAGATTGTATTACATCGAGCAATTTATTAGCACGAACTTTACCACTGTTAAGCAATTTATACCATTTTTCGTTAACCAAGTCCAAATCGGCTTGCACTTTAGCTTTTTCACTATTTTCGGTAGCGTCGATTAATTGTTGACCAGTTTTCAACACCCATTCGTATTCCCGTTGTTTCAATGCTATTTCTGCTTGCAACTCGCACTCGAAACGTTTGAGGAGTTCTTCGGGTTCACCGATAGGTGCCATGTCCCAATTCTTAACTCTGATTTCCGCATCCTCGATCCAGGTCAACAATCTGCTTTGTCTGTTGATCCAACGTTTGTGAAGGTCGCAACGTTCGCCAAGTTTGTATTCGACTAATGCTAATTGATGGTCCAGATCACCTTGTTGTTGCCACAAAAGTGCAACGTGTTGGTTCAACGATTTCATATCCGACGGGCTGAGACATTCGCGTAATTGTTTGGTGAGTACATTCAAGGATTCCAATTCGTTGCTGTTCTTGGCTAAACGTGTTTTCACTTTTTGTAGGAATAACAAATTATCCTTGGTCTGCGACAATTTACCCGGAATCGAGTGAAGAACCGAATTAAGTATCTGACCGATGTCCTGCAAGATATCAGTGATTTTTTCGGTTTGTGCAACATGTTGTTCGTGATGTTTCCTAACTCTTTCAACGAAATCTCTCCAGGTTTCTAAACCGGCACGCAAATTGGCAATACGTTCAACGTTAGCGGCGTGTTCCATACGCACCGAAACAGCCAATGTCTCGTCGCAATCAACCAGCAAAGGTATTTGTTGTTTTTGCAAGGATTCTATTTGGGCCTCGCCCGATGGTATTTTTTCCAATAAAGTTTGTATCCTTTGAAGAATTTTATCCAATCTGTGAAGGTGTATGAAACGTAATTGCAATCTACTGCGTTCCCTTTCTATGTCCTTCAACCATGCGAACAGATCATTTTGATCGCGCCTGTAATTGTCCCATGCTAATAATCTATCGTGTACAGCCGTATGCCTTTCGATTATTTTTGCCAATGTTTCATTGTGAAGATTCGTCAATACGTTGAATTGTTCGGTAACATTTAAATTATCTTTATTATCCTCTTTTCCGTGTATGGTTAACAAATGATTTTGTTGATCGGTTAGTAAATTTCTATATACTTCGCAAAGATTTCTGTGCTCCGAGAGACCATTGTAATCGCCAGGTACGCGATTGGATAAAAATTCTTGCACATAAGTCAAATGTTCTTGCCACAATTTTAAAACCGCTATTACGTCCTGCGATTTGAACAAACGTGCGGACAAACGGTGATAATGTTGGAAGGTTTCTTTGAATACCCGTTGCCATTGTTGAAGTACTTCAACCACTGACGGTTCTTGAGTTGACATCGTTACTGTCCTATCCTTTATAGATTGGAGCTGTGGTTCCGTTCGTGTTAACGCTAGCAAATGATTACGCAGTAGTTTCAAGTGTTCATTGGATTCTTCTTGTCCGACAGTTGTCAAACTCTGAAATATAAATTATTTCTCGATAAATAATCATTTTATAAATATATATATATATATACGGTGGTACTTTAGTTAACAACTGTTTCAGGTTAACGATGTACTTGGTAAACGACGAGTGACTATAAGGGAACAAAAAACCTGGAATTTTCTGATCGCATTCGTTGTAGACCACAAGCGGAAGTTGCAAACGTTGTTGCACTCGTTGCAACGAGTGATTTTTTTGCTGATAAGACCGAAACTCTGACGCATAACGGGGGTGGGGGAATTGTGGTACAATAATTAAATATATCTACAGTTATTTCATAAAATAATTAGTATATATATATATATATATATGTAATCCAAAATTAGTTTAAATAATTAGATATTTAAAGTTATTATTGCAAAGATCATTGTCATAATTTCTTTTTACGATACTTTGTTATAGAGAAAAAACAAAAAAAAAAAAAGAATGTAATAAAACAGCTTTGGTATACCAAAAATAAAATTCGATTTGGCCTTCTGAATGCGTCATACTAGAGGGAAAGAATTTAGCAGAGAGTCTTTTAAGACTCTCTTAGCTTTTAAGCATTGGTTATTCCATCGAAAACATGCTTCCCATCGGCCCTGGGTCTCTGCTAAAGAAAGTTTTGTTTAAGTGCACCGTTGCGGCCATTCAGCTGTTGCGGATTTCGTGACTGATGTAATTGCAATACCAGGTTAAGCCTTTCGGCCTTGACATAACAAATTGTTTAGAAACTACGACGATTAAAATGTAAACGCTCGTGTGAGGGGATGGATGATCGTGGTTGTACCTAGCACCAATAGTGTTTGCCTTGTAAGCGGAACCAACCAACGCGGTTGTTACAGGAATAAGTGTTTCTCTATTTTGTTTAAATAAAAAACAACAAAACGAAACAAAATAAAACAAAATAATAATAGTGAAAATCAAGTCTTCGATCAAATTTATTATCTATGTTTTAATTTTGTTATATTATATATATTTTATAATAATAATAATAATAATAATAATAATAATAATAATAATAATAATCGGTAATGAAATATTTTCCAAATTTATATTATCTAGTAACGATGCCTTTATTGTTTTTAATAATAATATCTCGTTCACATAATATAATATTACTAATGAGATGTGTGTAGAAAAAAAAAGAAACCATATCGTACCTGTTGTACGGTACCACGAGGAAATTCTATGTTTGACAAAGATCTACGCGAGTAAGCATTATACCTGGTTAGAAACACGTACGTCAGAGTTTACACACACGTACACGTGGTCAATTAAAATTAATATTTACGTTATATTAATATCTAAAAGTTCTATTATAATATTATAAATAGAAAATACGATCTTACCTGTTGTACGGTGTCGAGGAAATTCTTCGTTTGACAAAGATCTACGTGGGTAAGTTCCTGGTTGAAAACACGCACGTCAGCGGTGTCTGCAAGGGTTGACAAAGTTTCACGAACATCTTCGAGTCTACGACCAAGTGCTTCGACCTCGCAATGTAACGGACCACCAGCATCCAAACCAACGTCAGATGCGATCTGGGCTACCAAATCGCGTAATTCTGCCAACCTTTCCTTGTGTTCCGCCAGGGTTTCTTCGCAAATCTGTATTGAATTTTGGAAGAAAAAAATATATATTTGTTTTAAATATATACAAGATTTATATGACAGATATAATATTACATTTTTGTGTGTCTAACAAAATAATAATTATTGTCTGAAATTTGTCGATTATTATGAGTTGCACAATTAATCAATTAAAAAACATTCAATATGATAGTAAACAAAAGTTAATTGAATTCTAATTCTTATGTATATATATATATATATATATATATATATGTATGTATTTACTATCACTATTACGAAATGTAAATATATATATGTTTGTGTTAGATATTTCATTCAAGAATATACTGTAAGAATATAGTACTATATAAGATTTCGGTGAATATATTAATAAAGAAAGTTAAACAAAAATGAAATGAAGTTACAAATAAGTAATAATTAAGTAACGATTAATTGTAATTGTTAAACTAATAGGATAGACAACGCATATGCAAACGATCGTTGTGTTTTTAATATTACGTAATTGAAATAAGATAACGGGTTATTTTCCTAATATAGAGGTATATATGTTTTAAAAATAGTAATTGCTTCATTTCTTATCACTATTCGATAACACGTTTGTTATTTAATTCGAAATAGGTAGCAGTAAAATAAAAAATTCTTCGACGAATGTTTTCTCTCTTCTTTTTCTTTTTTTTTTTCATTTTTTTGTATTTTATATTCCAAAATCACGGTTGCTCTTAAAAAGTATTACTCCGATAGTGAGTATATTATATATGTTACTGATAAGATATAACAAATTTAAAAGTCATACGTAAATGAGCAGATGTCGTAGAAAGTATAGGATGTTTATGATTGTGACATATGGCAGTCAGGTAGAAAGAATATATATATATATATATTTTCTTTACTGTATTTCTCTTCTGTGATATTGTATCCGTAGATTATGTTAATACATTGAACGATGAAGAAAACAAAAATAAACAAATAATCAAATATATATTACCGGTTTCATTTCTAATACCGTTAGGATAGATTTATCGTACAATTTGATATTAAGCTAACATTAAAAATTCTTGCGTTTTATTATGTTATAAATTGCATAATGGGGATTGTTTTGAACATACAATTTTTATTTTGTAAATATTAATACATTATAATTCAACCTAATATATTAAATATTCTTAAGATATAAACGTAAGAAATGGTGGAATTTTTGTTTTTCAATGACGTCATTGGTTAAAGTTCCCGATCAAAGTAAAACTAATCTAAAGTTAAACCAAGCAATGTTATCTCTTCGTAAAATGAAATGATTGAAAAAGAGAAAGAGAAAGGAATTTTAAAAAAATTCTTTTTAAATAATATTTATATAAAATTGTAAAATCGAAGGTAAAAAAGATCGGTTTCGTTCGATCGTACCTTCGCCTCCTCCGGCGTGCACATGTCTCTGAATTTGGATCACCGAGAGCATAAGTTTAAATCTTCCCCCACCCTTTGGACGATGATAGTGATGATGTCGACACTACGGAAATACTCACGCACGTCAAACTATCGCGAGGAACGAATTTTACACGCGGCACTAAATATATATACACATATACACATCATATATACGTGTATACGTTCTTACGGAAAAACTAGGTGGGGAACACGGTACACACCACAGACACACACGCGCGTCGTAATATTAAACGTGGGTGATGAGAGAAGTCTAAAAAAAAATAATAAAATGAAGAAAATGAAGTCAAAGAACAACGAAAGAAGAGACTGGGGTTTTATTCTCACGCACGTGACAAAACCCCGTGTATCGATTTACAATGTTTTTCTTTAATACACGTGGTCCCGTTTGTTCTACCGGTTTGAAAACGCACGTGATGACAGAGAAAGATAGAATAGATTAGATAGATAAATAAAAAGAAAGAGACAGACAGAGAGAGATTTATTAATTAATATTAGGTTTGTTATTCATTTAATATTAATAATTGAATTTGTATGTGCATAACGAAAAGGGGAAAAACCGGAACTCTTAGAGGAAACCACAAAGTATCAGGAAAAACTGTATCACGAAGTATGACAAGAAACAGATGTGGTTTAGTTTCTTAGCTAGAAAGAAAGATTAAAGAGAAGAGATCAGTACGACGTTCTGGTCCAGACTGCCGTTGGCATCGTCGTAATTGTAGTTGGAGTTGTAGTCATAGTCGTAGTCGTAGTTGTGTCGTAATGACGACACGTTCAAAGGGGATCGATGAGAGAGCAGAGTCTCTTTTGGGGGGGGCTCTTTTGACTCGTGTATTCCTATTTCTCTCTAACTAAACGACCACCCCTTATAGCACGCCAATGCACGTCCGTGATTCGTCGTTCTACAAGGGGTGGGAGTATGAGCGAACCAATCATCGGTTGCGCATCAATTCTCAAAGAAGAGAAAGATGCGCGTTTTTATGCATAAATAGTAGGGGCGTAAGTATTTCATGCGTTAGTATCTTTAATGTATTCGGGGTATGATGATAATGATGTTATATTTGTTTTTATATTGTTTTTTAACTTTAGTTTGAATAATTAATCGTTACGAATATTATTTTTCGGTTTTGATCAATGCAGTATTCTTTTTTCCTTTCTTTCTTTTTCTTTTTGCAGGGTGATCAATTTATTATTTTTCTTTTTTTTTTATTTGCATCGCGTTGACCAATTTTTAAGATTATTATTTTCTAACGTTTCCCTAATAATTAAATGAGAATATATTCATTTTTGTTTGGATCCTAAAGGTATTTGAAAAACAATCAAACAGTCGTCCTATCGTAAAATTGCGAACATCGTAATGGAACTTTTTTAAATTAGGTGCGAATATATTTAATTGGCGTTATATATCGTTCACCTTATATCGTCTCGAAAAAATATCAATTAGCGTTACAATTAGCGATACGATTTACAAAGGTTGTTATAATTGAACGAATTATTTCGACAGATTTCAAAGTACATCGTCAGTTGTACGTTAATCGTATTCGAATGTACACTGATATTTTCTATACATTCAATCAAACAAAATTAAATGCTATATTCAAACTGTTAATATTAAAAAAAATAATTGAAATCACACACACAAATATATATTACTTAAACACACTTACCTTAACTTGTTTGATAGCCTCCTCCGCAGGTAAATTAGCCACGCTTCCCATTTGTGTGTCCACCCAGGATTTAACAGCTGCACTCGAATCTCTATATTGTTGCCACAGGTTGCAGGCGTGTTGATATTTTGTACAAAGTGCATCCAATTCGGCTTTGGTGTCTTCCCAAGCCCGTACAGCTTCATTTACCGCAGCTTCGACCCTCTCGCGGACCTCTGCAGCGCAACTCTCCCGCAAAGGTTCGGCAGAGGCATGAAGTTCGCTAATAAGCACCTCGCGTGCACCGAAATCACCATTTAATCCCTGAAATCAATCCCACATTTTTCGTTATCCTTGTCTATGATCACATTTCTCACGATACCTATCATTTAACTTTAATACTTTTGATAATTCGATTGTTTTCACTTAAAATAAATGAAATCAATCGTTTGCTCATTAAATTATTCGGGGGGAGGGGGGTGTATGCCTTTTCGTTTATTGTTTTTTTTTCCTTTGATCTTATTAACGGAAGAAAAACTTCTTTTTACCGCGGAGGGAATGGGGGCGGGAGAAGGGGGATGAATTATTTACATACGACTGTTAGTATAAAAAGCTTTTCCTGAAACGTAGAGGAAGCTAAAAATAATTTTGCTTGTGCACGAGACACGAGACCGACCGTGGGGGCACACGTTTCGAAGGCTCGCGAATTGAATTCGGTCAGGGCATGGTTGAACTAATTTTGTGGTTTTACATGTGATGAGAGTTCGTTAACCTGGGATAACAGAATTTTCCGAAGTCTCGTGCGGAAGGAAGGAAGGAAGGAAGGAAACAAGCGTGTGCCTAACACTAACAATAAGTTTTATCTGTTGTTAACGACATTTAAAGTGACACGGTTCATAATACGTACATGAAATTGTAACGAGTGCAAGGTAAAACTACTATAAATCGTTGCTGTCGTAGAATCGTTCAAATAATTCACATACGCGTGTTTACTATGCAACTTTCGATCGATAAACTTGTGTGGTGGTTTGTTGTTGATACCGTTTAAAATACGAGAGAACTTGGAATATAATTTTACACCGATGTGAAAGATATTTATCAGCATCCGTTTACGATTATGTTTTAAATTGTACGACCTACGCGAAAGATATATAATAATCTGACCTCGATATACTATCAAGTTTACTGTAAGTATGTATTTCGTATATGTATATATGCACATACATATTTATGTGAGCACGTTGGTCAAAGTCAAAACTTTACGTCATCGATTATAATTATTTTATATTAAATATATAGAAAAATTGGAAAGTTTTTCGTATATTAAACATATATACATAAATACATATATACATATGTATGTATATTCATGTATGCACATCGGTCAAAGTCAAAACTTTATGTACCATCGTTATCGCATAATTATTTTTAATGAAAACATATATAGAAAAAAATTGTGAATAAACGTTTTGTTTTGTTGTTGTTTTTTTTCCCCTTAAAAGATTATTAATTATCTTTGTGTTTAATCGATTAAATATGTAAAACTAAATGAAAACGTTGCTTTTGCATATCGACGAAAGAATTAACAATAGTGTAATTATTCTAACATTATATTTAATTAAACGCAAATATGTTTTAAGTCATTCCGGTAATGAGTCGTTGCGAAATTCTTCCTTGGCTCTTGCGTATGCGTGCATTCATAGAAATAAAACTCGACGCCCTCGGACAGTGATATTAATGAGATTCTTTAACACGGACGCAAAAGACGATAAGAAAATTCAACGTTTTAAAAGGGCAACTGTGGTTTTTTTTTCTTCTTTTTCTACTTCTTCTTCTTCTTCTTCTTCCGGTGATATAATGGTTAAAAGTTTCCGAGAAATAAAGATGAAAGAGAGAGAGAGAGAGAGAGAAAAAATACAAAAGAAATTAAAATAAATTTAACAAAATAAATAAATAAAAGAAACCTTCGTTCGCATACAAAGAGATCGTCTGTAAAGTTGAAAGGTTAGTCTAATATTAGATATA